AAAATTGTTCGTAACGTTGCAAAGTATTTAGTTCGTAAGCTTTTAACAGTGCATTCTACAGGATGCCTGACCATGTGGAAGAATCGGAAGAATTTAAGAAAGCTAGGGATCGGTGGTCATCGATGGGCTCACCATCCGTTGGCTCTTCCGCCGTTTGTGTGCCGACTGCGTCACAGTCAGCAGACATGTGGACCCTGCCACAAGATGTGGTATTTGTAAAATGCCCACAGCAGATGAACAATGGACCTTAAGTTGCGGGCATTTCCCATACCGCAAGGGCTGTGCACTGTAAAAAGCTTACGAACTAAATACTTTGCAACGTTACGAACAATTTTCGTTCTTTGTATTGCAAAGAAATTCTTCGTATTGCAAAGCGATTGTTTGTAAGGCTAGACGGGTCTTACGAACAATCGGTTTGCATTACGAACTATTTGTTCGTAAGCTTACGAACAATTAGTTCGTAATACAACGCTTCAAAATCCTTCGTAAGCTACGAACGTTTTGGTTTGCATTACGAACCCATAGTTCGTAAGCAATTTACAGTGTGTGGATATTTTGAAGTTCAAGCAACCTGCTCCACATTTTCCGTTTCCTTGCCCAATCTGCAAGAAAATTGTAAAATGGGCTCTCATGCTCCACTTCTAGATTATGTAAGTGGTTTTGTAGTACTCTTGATTCGTAATTCCCATTTTTTAACAATACCCCTTTGTGGTTCTTTTATTTTTACTCGTTCTTTACCTCCCTCCCTCCCTCCAAACATCACTACGTGGAGGTGGAAGAACGAGTATTGTGCTCGGTGCTGTGTAAGTTAGAAGCCATTTCGCTGGAGGAAACTGGAATACATACAGACAAGTGCAGTATTCCAAACGATAGGGTTTTACCCAGTAATGACGCCGCAATAGAGGTTTTTTTCAACTTTGACAGCAAATTTGAGAGAAAACTCGATTTATAATTTGTGTCCGCGTCGCGAAAAGTTCAAAACTGTGGTGGCAAATGAAGGATTTTGAAATGTCAATAACTCATTTCTCCGGGTGTAATTCAACGAAAACTGATGACCACCATAAATGTGCCATCACTGTTAAAAATATTTGCGATTTTACAGATTAAGTCGTTAAAGTGGTACAGATAATGTGTAGTACTTTTACAGAGTGTAGTACTTTTCCTATAG